CAGAAACCGCCATGGAGGTACTACCGTCCGCCAAGTGAGTTTTTAAAAAGAGAGCTTTAATTGTTTTACATGAGGTTTGGGGTTTTTGGTGTGCTTTTTTCTGTCTATGAAACATCCAAGATTTCATTTGTCTTGCTTTTTCTTACACTTAGAACACTACACTTTTAACTTGTACAAGCATTTTATATACACCCCCCCTCTGGGTTTTCTTCTATTTTCTTTAGTTCTTTTTCTTGGGTTTATTTCCTCTTATCTCCATGGGGAAGTGGAACGATTCTTCCTCCGTAAGCCTGCGTTTTATAAGAGGCGACTAAAATGACGGGAACCCAAGGGGCTAGTAACCTTTTCTTCTGTATATATTATTTAATGTAAAGGAGAAAACTTTTTTTTTTATTTTTGTCACCCGCTCGGTGGGATTACGGCCGGTGTGTTGAAATAAATATAAATATATTTATATTATATATATAATATATATATAAATATATATATTATACATTATTATTATATTTATATATATATTTATTATATATTATATATATATATATTTATATATATTTATATATATATATTTATATTATATATATTTATATATATATTTATATATTATATTTTATATATAAAATTACATAAAATATTTATATATTATTTATATATATATATTTTATATATATATTTAAAATATATATATATTTATATATATATTATTTATATATATATTTTTATATATATATTATATATTTTATATTATATATATATTATATATAGATCACAATCCTTACTCTGCTACACTCCTGCCTTTGAAGCTGAAATTCACAATGACTAGAATGTAACGGCGTGAATACCAAGTACTGCTGGAGCCAATCGAGCTACGACAGGTGGTCCACTTGTTCCAGTGGGCCGACCAGTAGTGGTAGCGGTTCGTCGACTTGTGTTTGTGCGTTGTCACATTCTGGTAGGATCAATGGTGCTTGTAGATCCAGTGGTGCATGTCGATCCGGTTCGGTGAGGGGTAGTACAGTGGAGTTATTGAGGGATCATAAGTTGTAGTAAATACAAGGATGCCTGATACGGTGGTGCTACTGGAAGCACTATTGCTTGTGACATCATTGGTGCTATTAACACCACTGTGTCCTGTGACTCAACTTCTTGGAGATAAAGAGAGACTTTATCTTGATAGAACATTCGACTTGTCCTGTACAACTGCTTAATTTTCTCTTCGTCTCTTCTTCCTTCGTTGTTCTCTTGCTGTGTTGGGTTTCTCTCTCTCTTGCCCCCTTCGTTACACTTGTGTGCTAATGCTCGCTCCCTTCCTGGGTGTTCTGTTATTCCTGTCATTTTCCCTCTTGTCTTCTCTTTGTACTCTATAAATATTTATTTCCTCTTCTCTCTCTCTCTCTCTCTCTCTCTCTCTCTCTCTCTCTCTCTCTGTCCATTCACTTTCCATTTTTTCTCAGTGCCTGTTCAATTCGCATTTTCTACGTCATGGCTTGATAGTGGAGTTAGCCTCCAGGGGTTTCAATTTTATTTAACCCACTCCTGTAGTCGGGTTATGACTATACTCCCACCTAGGATGTCTGAGGATGGAGCCTCTTGGGTTACACACACTGTAGGTACCATTCCTTTGAAGGAATAAAAAAGTATTATATTTATACACAGCAGTAGAAATGTAATGGACACTTACCAGTGAATGATTCACTGATACATAATCTCCATGGATCAGCTGCGGTGAAGCCATCTCCGCCTCCAGAGAAGCAGCATCAGGAGGAAGAGCTGGTGAAGCCTATCATCGCCGTGGTGGCTGGAGTGCTGGGCTCCCTCCTTCTGGTGCTCGCCGTCGTCTGCGTCCTCGTCAGGGTGCATTACGGGCGTCGCAGAGCGTGTGGGCGCGCATCGGACCCCGTAGGAGGCGAGGAGGAGGCCAAGCTCTCACCCACGACTTTAAAAGACCTGCCGCCTCCTTCAGCGTCTTCAGGTACAGTATTATTATTATCCTAATCATTATTAGTACGTAGGAGGCCGTGCAGTGTCTGCGAAATGGTACTTAATCAGATTTGATCCATGGAAGGGGTGGCAAGCTCCACTTCTTTAGACCCAAATCTTCAGGTACAGTAAAGAAGCTTATTTAAATCAGTCGAGTCGTGAAGGTTTAGATGGTTTAGTAAGGTTTGTCAGGAAACAGGACAATTGTTTCCTGATGCGGGTCTTAGTCATATGGTGGCCCACAGCTGGAGCGTTTGATAATCTGACCGAGGCCTTCCGCTGGCTTACCGGTCCACCACTTTAAAAATTATGGTCATAGTCGTGAAGTCACCTACAAATGAAACCTGATTCACCCTTGTCTAACTAAACCTTAATTAAGGAAGGCAGGTAGTCAGGCATCTCGGGAAGCTTAACAAATTCTATTGTCCCATGATAATAATTAATTAGCCCAAAAGAAAAACCTAAATGTTTATCTCCCGTACGAAAAAAGTATGAGTTAATTAAAGTTTAATTCATTGCATATATGTGCCTTTACATAATATATTGCACGTGTACACACTGCTTTCATTGCCAACTGAATTAAAACAATAAAATTCCCACCAGGTGTAAAAGTTTCCCCTAACACAGTTAATTTCAGTTGTGATGTCGATAGTTTATTTCTAATTCACTAAGCAGATAGCCTTTATTATATATATATATATATATATATATATATATATATATTATATATATATATTATATATATATATATATATATATACTACACACAAGATTCACCTCCATAATACATACAGGAAACACCATAACCACCCATCACACCCCACAGCAATACAATAAGCACCATGATACCAAAATACACAATAACTAAGACACCATAACTACTAAACACAGTTATCACCTTTTTCACACCTGTGCACAGGGGCAGAATCATGGGTGGTGGGCAGTGTTACAACCATCAGCTCGGCGTCTATGCCCACTACTTATACTACCCTTCCGAGGCCCTCACACCTGACCACGCCACCTAGTTATCAGGTGAGTTCTGGTTAATAGTTTACTGATGCATTTCTTTGTGTGCAATAAAGAGCCCAAGTCTTTGTTAATAATTTTTTCCCATTCTTAATACTGTAAATTGAATCCTTACTGAAGAGAGGCATCTTTAGAGGAATTTTTCCCTCAAGGAAGGCTCCTTGACGCTGGTGAGGGGCTCTTGATCTAGGGAATTGGATCTGTGCTCCAGTTCCCTGAATTAAGCCTGAATGCCTTCCATTCCCCCATAGGCGCTGTATAATCCTACGGGTTTAGTGCTTCCCCCTTGATTATAATAATAATTTAGAGGAATTTTGGTCCTGTCCTAGTATAAGTGACGACTTGTTAATTAGCCAGGTCTAACAGAAATATCGTTAATTTTTTCTGTCCAAATTGTAAGCCGGTTTCAGTTGCTTCAGCCACAGAAATGTGATTTTGTTTCATAATTAGACCCATATTAAATGCTTTCATTTGCACGTGTGCCTCTTGTTTTTGTTGCATGTGGCGTATTTGTCAACAAATGGGTGAGGACAGCAGCCGTGTGGGACGGAAGACGTGCAGTATAACGAGCTGCTGCTTAGTGGAGCAGTGAGCACCTCCAGTATTTCTCACCACCACAACGACACCATAACACATTCTCCAAATCCCCACCTCCACCATCACCACCATCAACACGATCCTACAGCTCATTCTCCAATCCTCTCTCACCACCACCTTCACCACCAAGAGTCCTGTGTGGATCATTCCCCAACACATCCTCAACCCACTTTAGAAGACACCCGCCCCCACTACCCTCATTCCCACCAACAACACCCATCCTATACCCACCCTCTCGCTGCAGTAGCTGCGACATCACCCATACATACCGTCCATACGCCCACGCCGCCCATTCTTAGCGGACGCCCACAGGCAGGACAACCTAAACTCTCCCAGTGGTCTCCTTCGTCAACGTCTATAGGTGGAAGACACTCTATCAGGCGAGAGCATCACCTCTGTGACACTGAGGCAACTGTGCCGCTCATGACCAGCCAGAAGGAGAGTTCTGTATAAGGTACGTTCCCTTGGGTTGTCTTTCATGAAGTGGCATTTATAGATTTTTTTTAAATTGTGTAAACATGAGAGTATTCTCTTTGTGGGCAAAGACAAATTTGCAAAACAAGCCCACATTTAGATGACATTTTAGCTTAAAAAAAACTACTTAGATAGAATCGTTTAGTCACTAAACACCCGTTAATGTCTTCAATCCGTGAATTATCTGGGCCGGTAATATCCGGCCATAAATGCGGGTTACAATACAAATCAAAGATGCGATACTATATTTTGAAAGCTTTACATTCATGATTGCTTTTAGAGATTTTTATACTCCTTGCTCCACGATTAATTCTTGAAGTTGTACTTCATCATCTAAGCCACGAAACCTCTGAATCTGGTCACAGTGGGTAAACATGGAAATGGGATTCCAGCTCCCATTCTCCTTGCTTCCTGCTCCCACTCCCTGTTTGTAACCCTAGACATTCTTTTCTTCAGTCTCACTTTGGGTGACAGAGAAGGCAGAGTAAAGATCATGCAGAGGAGAGGGCCTGAAGAGAAGAGGGCCTGAAGAGGAGAGGACTTGGAGAGGACTGGGAGAAAGGGTTGGTGAACAAGGAGGATGGAGCGGGAAATGAGAGTTGATGGGGCAGAAGATAACATATCCAGATTGTTACTGTTGGGGAAAGTGTATAACAAATCACTGTGTGATGGCTTGCCTAATAAATCTTTATGGGTCATCTGAACATCTCATAATGGTCCAGTGTGGCGCAGTAGATAAATGCATCTTGACAAAGAGGTAATCTTGTGTGTATTATGGGACAAAAAGGCTATAAAAATATATTTTCTGTGTTACCAGTATCGTTTGTTTAAGTTAATGTAAACAGACTGCAGCTTCTTCTCAATTTCAAGATGTTGGAGTATTTGTCTGTGTATGTGTGCAGGTGTGCGGTTTTTTTTTTTACACGTCTTTGTTCGCGTACTTATGTTTTTGTACGTTCATCAAGTGATTTTTCTCTCCCACAGATCTGCTGCGCAGCTAGAGACTCGCTTTATGGTCCAGATCATGACACTGAACTATGAAGTACATGCAAGTATAAATAATTATGCGAGACATGTTCTTGTGAATACCAAGACATTCTTAAATCGACCACGTCCTTGTGAATGTAGAATATGTCTTATCAAGACACGTTCTTCCGAATCCTAAGAAATACTAAACAAGGACATATTCTTGTGAACGTAAAATTTTGTATTAAAGACATGTCCATGGGAATCCTAAGAAATATTTAAACCACTTTCTTGTGAAACCTAGAAAATACTTATTCATATCTCTTGGTCATGGATCTGGCCGCGGGGGCGTTGACCCCCCGAAAGACCCTCGAGGCATATCTCCAGGTATCTAAGAAATATTTATATGTCCTTCCAACTCCTTGGCGGTTCTTGATGAACGTGTGACTCAATCGTTTTCAACTGTCTAACAACTCTAAACAAGGTATATTGATAGCAACAAGCACTGTGTTATGTTGGAATTAGAGATACTGAAAACAGCTAGATATACAAATACGAAAGTATAATAAACATTGATCAATGGTACAAGTGAGCCAACATGAAGAAGAGGATACAGAAGATAAGAGTAGTACTAACTACTTCGGCCTCAACTGAGGCCTTCTTCAGGAATCTGCTAAATAAAGTTTCAGTGGTATGCCTGGATACATAATATTCCTGTTAATTTCTGTCATGTTTTCTCGCTCATTCACTTGTTCGAGATATCTGTAATCTACAGTGTTCAAGTGAGGTTGAACAAAAATGAGTAGTGTGGTAGCTGCATCGCTGCCAACTGTGCTTTGTGCCTTGTGCTGATAAACACCGCTGATATTATAGGTCAAGGTAAAGTAAATTCAGATGGAAAGTCTTAAGAAACTGAACACTGCTCTTTGAGATTTTCAATCGCCCCGAATCTTTTTCTTTTCATTACCACCCCTCGGCTTCACAATCACTTTGTTCCTTCACCCTTCTACGCTACCACTTTGTCCCTAGACCAACCTCCCCACCACCATCCTTCTTCCCTTGCCATCTTTTTCTTCCACACTGCTTCGATCCCATTCTTTCTACAAACCCACTCCTCCACAAGCCCTCCACTCCAAAAACCTCACCTCAACCCCTCCTTATCGCCAAACCATTAGCAAATACTAGTTAAATGTTGAAAGCTCCCTAACATTTAAATATAAAAATAAACAGAATTATACTTTATGCTCCATTTAATACGTATCTTTACTCAAAAATATGTCTCCGATAGATCACTGTTTTAATTTTCCATCTTGCGTTGAACTGTATTAATATTCGTTGGCTCTCCTTCACTGGTAAACTTTGGCAGCAAATGACGAACTTGAGGCTTTGAGAAAGGAATGACACAGGCATTCCTGCCTGGATGTTCGCTCACGGATGAGCGGCGTCTGATCCGCTCGCTGATTGGGCAGGAATCTCATAATGCAGCCAGTACGGGATTGATTTTCTCCGATTCGTATCAGCTTTTAGCCTTGATTCGGTAGCTACATTTTAATCATTCACTGTTACGTCAGAGCACATGAGCCAATCACAGACTGAGGTTAGTAAGTTCAGTCAATCAGCCACACAAACTATCAGTAAGTTACGTCATAAAATGGGGTTAGAGCTCTTTTGTAAATCACACAGTTATGTTCGAATCCATTTGCTATTAAACTGAGGTTAGGATGCCCTAAATATTCAGAAAATAAGTTTGGCAACCCCATTCATACAAAGAGGTTAGAATCCTTAACCAATTTACCTTAACCAATTTCAGAATGAAATAGAAAATTTCCATTAAGCAATATCTGTGGCGCAATGGTAACATAGTTACCTCAGGCACACTGAGTTGGCGGTTCGATGCCTTTGCAAAACATTCCTCCTATCATACCAAATTTTAAATCATTGAAACAAGCAGAAAGTAATGTACGAACCTCGGCTAACCATAAGAATTATAACTCATAAATCGAATGCTAAATTGAAATCCATTCGGTGATTGGAGAACCATAGTCTGCCAATCAGCGTGCGACTTTAGTGATCACGAAAGCAAAATCTCTTCATTAGTTGATGCTCAACTCTCAACGTGGAGGATACGCTGTCCTTTTCTAGTCATGGAGACGGGAAAAATGTGAAAATACTCATGATCCTTGTCATTTCAATATTGTATATGTTCTCTGTATTGCCGACGTTGATCATGCTTGTTATAACCTTCCTGACGGAATCTGTGCTTAGTGTTTTGTTCATTGAATGTTCGACTCGCTGCCACAATGACTAAGGACAATAGATGTTTGTTATACAAAAAAAAATAAAATGAAAACATATTTTACTGGAAATGTCTTCTGTGAAGACGGAAGATCTGTTCTGCTTTACCTTTGTAAATGTTTGTTTGTAAAGCGTTGCTTTCAAGATTATAATTGTTATCAATTGTATAACATATTTATGGAACTCTTCTGCTCAATGTTTATTGTCTTATATATTATGTGTTTCAATTGCTACTTGCCAGACCTGCAGTCTTATTTTATGGTTCATCCGTTGCATTTACATTCTAGCAAGATGAGTAAACATAACGCAGTGGCTTTTGTTCTTCCTGACAGTACTGAGTGAAGCTAACACTAAGAGTTTTAAAGTACTGACAGCAGCAGTCACTGGAATCTGACACTGCTGAAAGCAGCAGTCACTGGAACCTGACACTGCTGAAAGCAGCAGTCACTGGAACCTTACACTGATAACAGCAGCAGCCTCTGGTATCTTCCGTGTCATATACGTTAACACTATTGCTTGACACTGTAGTGATGTAAATGATTTAGAAAAGCGATAAGATGAAGAATGAGACACTTGGGAATCTTCACTGAGGAAACGCTTCGCCAGCCACTGGCTGGCACAAGTGTCTCATTCTACAACTTGACAATGTTCTTCATAGCTAACACGAGTGTGTAGTAAGAGGTAACTCAAGTGATCAGCCTGGCTGCTGTGTGTGTAAACACAATTTCACCAACACTGCCACTTGTCTCATGTTTCACGTCTTCTTTCGGAAGTTAATTATAAATTCCATTATTATAATTTTCGTAAAAAAATAATTTTAATAGATTGACGCACATAATCTTGGTTCTTCTTAATTATATTCCTGTGTATTGATTCATTGGAGACACAGGGTATATACTCTGAGGATGTATGTCTCTTGGTGTATATACACAGTTGATTCTTATCTCTGTTTTAAAGTATTTTTTTATTGAATGTACAGGTGAATTATATAATATATAATATTTTATATATATATATTTTAAAATTTTATATATATATATATATATATATAATTTTTATATTCGTGCCGAATATGTAAAACCGGCCAATTAGCAAGAACTCATTTAAAATTAAGTCCTTTCTAAAATTTTCTCATATACGTTTAAAGATATATTTTTTTCATTAATGTTAACGCAAAAATTTATAATTTTGCACCAAAAGAATCTTAGAAAACTTACCTAACCTTATTATAACAAGCGCAATTTATTTTAGCCTAACCCAATTAAATATATTTTAGATTTGTTTACAGTAAATTAATACTAAACAAACACAATGAAATATATTTTTTTCGTTAGGTTCAGAATAAATTTGACGAAATTATTGCATATACAAATTTTCACTTGTCTATAATGCAAGATGAGCGTTGCTATTTAACCCAAAGATCGCAAGTTCTGCCTATTCGGCACGACATTAATATATATATATATATATATATTATATATATATATATATTATAATATATATATATATATTTATATATATATAATGCTATAATATTATGTATTTGTTAAAATAATGAAATTTTACTTATAAGTTTGCTTATTACATATTTCAACTTAATGTGTAACTTGATACTAGGTTCACTGGAAAGAAAATTGGATATAGTAATTTATTATTTTTTAAATCTTAAAAATGTAACAAAAACGGATAATATAAGAAAATGATCTGCTTGTTATTCGATGTATCGGATTTAAAAAGGAAAGTTTGTTAATGACTGCAAAGTTGTAAAAAAAAAAAAAATGTACTTGAAAAAATGCCTAAGTTGTGCAAGAACTTTCGAATGGGACTAACTTGATCAAAACAATAGAAACACCAAAATGTAAATTTATTATATTGTCCTTTACAACGCTAGAAGAGTTGTCGACGGATTAGAATCATTAGGTGAAGGAAGGTTAACTGGATGAGTTTAAACTCTACGTGGGTCTTGTTGCCTCATGGTTATTAGTATGGTCCTGCCCAGTAGAAATATTTTAAGAGTTGGAGTGAATGTTAAATACCTCCTGATTCTGTTCTATAGGGTCGAAGCTTCAGCTTTGGAGAGGAAACTTTGGACTGTGCTTCGGTCCATCCAGGACCATCATCAAGTCATAAAATAACAGATTAACACAAACTCGAAGCACATTTCTTATTTCTTCATATACGATGATTAACTTGACATTTTTCCAATCCATGACGTGCTTGTTCACTGTAATCACTCCCTCGTCTGTTGCTTGGAAAAATGCCAAGTAACTTTGTCAAAGAAAGACAATTAGAAACGAAAATTGGCCTCGTCTAATTCACCTCCATTTTCCAATACTTGCAATTTCCTTAGTGTTTTTTTCCTCCCGATGTCTACCCAATCATCGTATTTACGTCCTTTCCTCTTCCTTGTTATTGTGAGGAATGAGCTGGCGTTGTGACATTCCTTTCAGATGTTTTTATTAAGTTTATCTTGTAAATGTCGCGATTCCCTCTGTTGATTTAGCTTCCATATTATTATTATTATAAAGCCTCATAGCCTTTGAACAGAAATATATCTTCATTTTCAATACCATTTGTGAGTTAGAGACCAGAAGAATTTCCATTCCTGTTGGAATACCATTTCATATGGATTACCTTTCTGGCCGGATTTCCAATCTGACCAGTCTCCTCTTTACCTGAAATATAAATTTCAGGTTGGTTCCCATTTCACCTGGCCCCCATTTTCAAATAACAGTCCTATTTCAACTAGTTTGCATTCGTCAGTGGTACCCACTTTGAATCAATTTCTAGTTAAATATCTATTTCAGATGGATTCTGATATTGAGTGGAATTCCAGTTAGAATTTATAGCAATGAATTCTTATTCAGATCAAAATTTCATGTGTTTTTCCTATTTTCGGTGGATTATCATTCCAGATTCATTTGCATACCCATTCCATTCCAGTTGAATTACTGAACTGTCATACCATTTGAATGTCCATTCTGGATGAATTAACAATCATACATAACTACTATTGAATTGTCAATCTATCTGTATTCACCTTATTTGCAATCCCATTCTAGAAGGATTTCCATGTCAGATTAATGTTCCATCGGGGCTAAAAAAAAAGTGTTTGGATTCCCATTTCAAGTGGATTCCCATTCCAAATGGATTTCCATTCCAACTCTGTGTCTCTCCTGGACGCATGAATTTTGTACACCTGTATTTTGTATAATAAAAGATTGTCTTCTATACAAATGTTTTATTCTCTAAATCATGTTTAATATTTCCACTGAGATGTTGAATGATTGATATTATCACTGGTATTATGATTATTTTTTAATACATTATTTTATATTCATGGAGAAGAGCTGAATCTATACGAGTTAAACAAAACATAGGGAATGGATGTAATCAAATTCGATACATGGAACGGGAGTATAATTTCAGTGTGTGTGTGTGTGTGTGTGTGTGTGTGTGTGTGTGTGTGTGTGTTTTACTGAAAGTATTTGAAATTGCTTTGTTTCGCGCAAGCTAATTTATTATTGTTTTACTATTTACGTGGAACACTAAACCAGTGTGAGCTATTCGGCGTAAGGGAGTAGTGGAGGCTCGATCCTCCAGTACCCAAAAATGGAGAGGATTCGACCCCTATAACAAGCCACTCCTAATACTAGCAAACCAATGATCTGACCACTGTACCACACTGGCCTAATAAAATTTTCCCAGACAGGAATATCTCTATGCACTAAGAACGTTAGCATGGGCAAAACTGTGACTGCGAATGTAGGTTATTGCAAACGAATCTCGCACCAAGGTGAAGGAAATATAATTCGGAAACAGTGGATACCTATTGCATCGCCAATTGACCTGATGAAGTCCACTGTGTGCGCGAAGCTTTGTCGTTAATAGAGGTATCCACTGTAAGTGTCATTCCCTTACTAAACCTCCAACTTTCCCACAACCCCAGACTACAACTATTCACGCTTCTGGTAACCTCCCTCACTCCTAACTGGATTAAAACAACATCCTGACAGGAAAACATAGCAAGCCTTGGTTCCCACTATGTAACTCCTACATAAAGTTGGGTAGAAGTACACTGCAGATGTACTTGTATTGTTAAAAAAAATTCTTCTTGGCATCCCTCTTCCACCCATCCACCTTCCAGCCTTCCCTACCTACCCCCTAACCCCCTCACTCATCTCCTAACCATCCCGTTCACATGCTAACCCTCCCACCCAACTAACTACTTAACAGACTATACACATATCTAAGTAGACTACACATCCACGTCCAGAAGAGGCTATATCCAAGTCTTTAATCCTCAGGAGGCAACCTCTCGGTGGTATATGGGCAGCGATCCTGCTGACAAGGCTGGAGTCTGGGGCAACTTTCAAGAAATTTGCATGTTGCCTCTGTAACGTTGTGTTATCACAGTTTCTCCTGACAGCCGGGGCTTGTTTTGCCTTCAAATGATGTGTTGTTGATGCTGTGGGGTGACAGTGGTTGTTGCGGTACTGGTGGAGTGGGGGTGATGATGGTGGTGCTGTGGAAGTAGTTATGCTGTGGTAGTGGTGTTGTGTTGGTGTAGTGGTTTGCTTGTCATCGTGTGGTGGAGTTGCGATGCGCCCTTTCGTCTTTTTTCCACTCCCTCTTTTTTCCTTGCCCGTACTCTCCGTGCCTTACACTCCCTGCTCTTAATACCATCCCAATCCCTGTCACCCGATGCTCCCTCTCATTTACTGTCACTTTATACTCCCTCTCATCTCACATACACCCTTTCCCTCTCATCCCAAAGACTCAGTCTCTATCTTCCTTTTACTCTCTTCTATCCTTCACTCTTTTTAAGTCTCACTCTCTTTCTCTGTCATTACTCACTCTCATCAGAACCTTTCTCTTTGTATTAATTTTCATTAATTCTTTTGATTTATTGTCTGAGTTCGCTCTCAAATTCTTTCCTAAATCTGAACTTATTTTTTTTCATGTTTTACCTTTGCTATACTCCAGAATATATCATTCCCGATTTGTTGACATGATCCCCGGACGGGCGACATATGAATACAGTATTTGGAGAATGCTCTTAAAATCAGCAACACGTACATTAGGGAATTAATTCATAATACATAGAACAAGTTTCAAGGGGAATACGTTCGGCTGAGGACTGAGCTTATGAAGTCGGTCAGTCTGGCTCACTGGCACATATCTTACATGGAAAACACCTGGCCTGTAATAATACATCAGTCCAAACCTAAATAATGAACCAGTAGGTGGACTGCAGTGGTCCGCTGCCTCCATCAACAATACCTGATATGCTATACTTAAGACTGTGCGTGTGTGTGTGTGTGTGTATGTGTGTGTGTGTGTGTGTGTGTGTGTGTGTGTGTGCGCGCGCGCGCAAAAGCGCAGGAGTTAAATGACAACTCTAGGCCTTTCGTGTTGCAATCAACACAACAGGAGCTTGCAATAATGCTGAAATGAGTAGGAAGTCCGCGATTTTATAATATATATATATATATATATATATATATATATATATATTATATATATATATATATATATATATTATATAGCCTTTTACGTATATAGCTCTTTTATGTTCTCAACCCAAACTCTTATCTACATCCGAATTTTCCGTTGATTTTTAGCTTCATTCATCTATCACAGTATTATTTTGAGGTATTTTCTGACCATAAAATATACATCTTGCGGTTAATAAAAAGAAAGGAATTTTGAAATAGCTTTCCTTTAACAAATTCCGACAATACGAAAAAAAATTAGGAATGTTTGAGTATATATTTTTCAATATAACTTTTCACCGTATTGGTTTGTCTTTAACCTGAGAATTTTTGTTTTTGAGACTTTATTGGTTTTAAAACCACTTTTATAGTATTTTCGGAGTGTGTGTGTGTTTACAGGAGAAACAACGAATGAGGTGAAGAACAGCAAACAAACTACACAAAACATTCGAGAACAAACACACTGACAA